ATTTAAATGAATTCAGTGACTTTCATGCATGAACAGTTGTGGCACTGTCGCGCTGCTCCATATTCAACAAGGACAGATTTGTTATTAATGCACTGCATGTGCGCGGTTTGTGCGTGTTCCCTGCAAAGGACATAAATCTCAGGCAGAACATCTGATAAGTCGAGCACAGGAACTCAGAGTCACTGTTAAATGGTGATAATAGAGGTGAACTCCTCTATGGGTCAAGGTCAAAGCTCACTGATCAGAGACAAGTTCACGTTTCACAACTACTCATGGTTCTGTAAGGTGGGGATTTAAATTGCTGTCTACATCTAAAGTGGGAAGTTGACACATTGTACACACTTTTGTTTACCTTTTTATATTCAGGGCAGGTCCACTGAGAGGCCACCTCTCTTTTTCAGGTCCACCCTGCTCACATGTTACACATTCACACCTGGAAGTTGCCCAGTACAACCACAGTCTGACCTGTGGACACTCAGCAGCTCCACTGGGGTTACGGGCCTTGCTCAAAGGGCAACACAGTGGGGTAAGCACTGCTTTGTCACCTGTCCCACCCAGATTTAATCCTGCCATCCAGGGACTGAACCAGCCAATTATTTCCTCAAGTACTGTAATTTTAAAGCACAAAGGTCAAGAACTGCAGTAACACCCAAATATTCAAACCAGTGCAGCTGCTAGCAGCTTTATGTTTGTTTTAGTTACGCACCACGTAACAACATCCACACACATCGAGCTACCTCATTTTGTTATGACTAGGTAGGCGGCTCCAAGCCTGTGGAGCTCTAGATAAGAGATGGAGTCTGCCCATACTACGCAGGCACGTCAAACCGTGACGTCACCTGATATGCCAGCTTGCAGCTGACCATAACGTTAGTCAAAACATGAGGAAAAGTCAAGGTGTGTGGCTGTTGATTAGTGAAGTGTATCTAGAACAATATAACATGACATTACACATTAAGACAAATATTAAGATTAGCATTACAGTTAATACTAACAACTCTTTGCCTGCAGCCTTGGCCTACATGCAGTCTGGAAGCACATGAAATTGAACTGAGCATTTAACAGCCTGAGCTAGACATCCTGTCTCCACTAAACATTTCTAGACATCAAATCTCTGAATATCTATCTAACTAAGAAATAACCTAACAGAAGGAACAACCCAGATTGTGTTCTGTAATCTTTACTTATATATATTCTGTAAATAAACCAGCACTAAAATCAAGAAAGACGGACTCCTTCCTTACTCAGGTCTGTCCAATAACAGAACTGGGGTATAACAAAACACAACTAAGTAGCATTCATCTCTCTCACAAGACTGCTGTGCTGTTATCACTTCAGTAAAATGATGATTGTCTTTACTGTGGATGTCCAATCCGACCAGCAGCAGCTTCTTAAACCGTAACACCTCAACATGTAGGAACACATTTAACCACAGTGGACGAACTAGGACCAGGGAAAATCCCAGTAGAAGGCACAGAGGCAGATGTTTGCACAAAGCTTCAGTCCTCCTGCGGAGATATTCTCAGAAGCCAAACTACAGCATTCATAAGGTGAAGCTTTTTCTGCTGAGAGCATCTGACAAAGGATCCCATCACCTCACTACTGTTGTAAGGTTAGGTAAGGTATGAGCCTGTGCCAGCGTGTCTCTCTTCAGTTGTGTTTACATCAAATGTTCTACTGTGTTTATGGATTCTTCAGGTGGCTCGGCACAGCGTCAGGAGTATGCAGTATTCTGTAGCACAAACACCTGATGTGTGAACAGCCTCAGGAAAAACAGTTCACCTTCAGCCTGAGCGCTGGCTTTCAGTGCGACACCTCGTGCATTCAGAACTGAGCCTGATAAAACAATTCAATCAGTTTGCAGTGCATTTGCATGCACTCGGTCTGTAGCGATGAGAAATGCAAACACACACACACAAACACTGCTGTCACCAGCAGAGGTCTGTGGTGAAGTGAGGATGAAATTAAACAGAGACACGGTGGTGATTCATGAACATCAGCATTTAAATGAATTCAGTGACTTTCATGCATGAACAGTTGTGGCACTGTCGCGCTGCTCCATATTCAACAAGGACAGATTTGTTATTAATGCACTGCATGTGCGCGGTTTGTGCGTGTTCCCTGCAAAGGACATAAATCTCAGGCAGAACATCTGATAAGTCGAGCACAGGAACTCAGAGTCACTGTTAAATGGTGATAATAGAGGTGAACTCCTCTATGGGTCAAGGTCAAAGCTCACTGATCAGAGACAAGTTCACGTTTCACAACTACTCATGGTTCTGTAAGGTGGGGATTTAAATTGCTGTCTACATCTAAAGTGGGAAGTTGACACATTGTACACACTTTTGTTTACCTTTTTATATTCAGGGCAGGTCCACTGAGAGGCCACCTCTCTTTTTCAGGTCCACCCTGCTCACATGTTACACATTCACACCTGGAAGTTGCCCAGTACAACCACAGTCTGACCTGTGGACACTCAGCAGCTCCACTGGGGTTACGGGCCTTGCTCCAAGGGCAACACAGTGGGGTAAGCACTGCTTTGTCACCTGTCCCACCCAGATTTAATCCTGCCATCCAGGGACTGAACCAGCCAATTATTTCCTCAAGTATTGTAATTTTAAAGCACAAAGGTCAAGAACTGCAGTAACACCCAAATATTCAAACCAGTGCAGCTGCTAGCAGCTACAGTGGTCCAGGGATGAAGTGGCAGTGTTGGCTTTCAAGTTAATTATCAGTTCCAGTGGACAGTCTTCTTTTTGCTGATAGGCAGGTAATATGTGTGAGTAAAAACAGAAACTGCCCTGTAGCAGGAGGAAGCATGTTCTTTCGGTCTGAGTCATGTAACAGTAGACTCAGACTCAGATTCATGTGTTCATTCATGTATGAACAGAAATTCACACACACACATATTTAGTGTAAAGAGGACAACCAGGAGTTGTGTGAAGATGAAGGCGCACACTATAGCTGTGAACAACCAGTTGTCTCTCTGACCTCACAGGCTCACATACAGACAGTGAGCCTGAGCAGGATGCAGGGTAGGAGAGCAGCTCATACTTTAGAACTGTATAGGCTGCAATGACTAATACCTGACAGAGAGAAACTCATGAGCTGGGAGCTGACTGTGGCCATACAATATGCATTATGAGCCTCTCAGAGAAGGCGATGAATACATATTCTGTAAAAAGGAAGCACATGAAACCATTAAACTCACAACTGGGGAGGCCGCTGAGGAAACTGCGTTTGCACAGTGAACGGGTGACAGAGCAGAGGAGACAAGCCACTCTGAAGGTAAAGTCTCCTCCCATGGAAACCAGGCTGGCTCCACTCCTTACAGTTGGTGAAAACTGGCTGACAGCAGTGCACAGATACCAAAGCACACACACCAACCTTTTCACACAGGTGCACAGGGAGAGTCACACATCTACAGACAAACCCAGAGTAGTAAAAGAAAATACATGTTACATCTGCAATAGAAATAACAGGAAATCTGACAGATGACATCTGGATTTCCCACCGTGCACAGTGTAGGCCAGCTGTCACTCAGAGTTTTCCACATCTACCACCCAGCAGGCTGCAGCCATGCCTTCAGTCAGAACACTCAAGGTAAGTGGCTGCATTACTTCATATAAATGACACCTGAATTCACGGTGCATTCACCAGCGACTTATCGCATGAGGCCAAACTGTCTTGTGATATCAGTCCAACCACACCACTACTAGCACCTGCCTCCGCATCCTACAGAGCACAGGAGAGGAATGAAGGAGAAATCAACCAGCTGGAAGCTGAAAGTTTTTTTTCTTCTGGTGAACAAAAAAAACCAACTTCATGTTGTATTCTAGAAGATAAGTGTTTCAGTGCAGAACACCTCCTAACTGGAACTGCACTTTTAAACTCACAGGCTCTCATTCATGTTCGAGTCTGTGCAGCCACAGCACCACCTACAGGTAAGGACAGCAGCAGCAAGTTAGAGCTGCAATGATAAGTGATGTTCCCTCTGAGTACAGACAGGAATATCTGCTGCAGTGATTATTTTACAGCTGCTGTTTTGTTTGTGTGTGCTTCTCTTTAATTAGTGTCACAACTGTTCTCCAGGGTACAACAACTACATGAGACATTTTACTTTTATAGTTCTGTGGTCTATTAGATAAATATAATGATTTGAATAATAAAAGAAATATGTAAAATGATTACGTTACAGTACACTAACAAATTCAGAATCATTTGACCATGAACACCCACTTAAATTACATTTATATCTTCTTTTCTAATCACTCAGGTCTAACATGTAACTTTGACTGTGAGTTTATATCAAGTGTTAACTGACTGAAATCAGGCTGCAGCTAGCAGCTATTTTCATCATCAATTAATCCACCAATTATTATCTCAATTAATCATTTAGCCAACAAAATGTTAAAGCAAATACCAAATAAATAGGCACTGGATGTTCAGTCCAGTGTCCACTTGATAATATTAAACAAAGAGCTAGGATTGATATGAGACAATTGCAAACAATTCTTCTATCAATGACTAATCACACTAATCACTCAAGCAAAAGTTAAATGTGAAGAGATCAACAATTTATTTTAGGCTTGTGACTGTTATTTTCATTATTACTCAATCTGCCAAGTGTTTCTTCAATTAACTGATTAATCATTTAATGTGTGAAGTGTCAGATAACACAGCACACAGTTCTGAAGTCCACGCTAACATCTTCAAGTGTCTTCCTTTGTTTGACAAACAGTCTACAGTGACATAAAACTGCTGAAATGTCTGAAAAATGACTATTAAATTATCAAAATAGCTGGTGAATAAGGTGAGGCAGGAACTTCGCTGCTGTATAATATGAGCTGTGTCTAGTTGTGCACGTCTCTGCAGTGCACTGTTAATCCTCATTATGTCCTGAACTGCACATAGAGATCTCTAGCAGCCACAATCCCCTTGCAGCTTGTTCTAAGTGAGGTTGTAGTGAAGTGAGAGGATTAGTTTGAAGTCAGGAATACCTTGACATCTCGGTGGATGACATTGTTGTCGTGGCAGTAGCGTAGCGCCTCAAGGATCTGCCTCATGTAGTGGCTACGGAAACGACATCCCAGGAAATATTTAGATCAAAAGTAGTGGTTGTAAAAATGTAGTGTCTCAAGGAAGAACATCCAGTGCACAACGCTCACCTGGCCACTGCTTCGCTGTAGACAAAACCAGCATCTGCCCTCTTCACAATCTCAAAGCACAGGTCTGCTCCATCCATACTGGAAAAGACAGAGGGGGAGGATCAGAACAGGAGTCAGGTAAGACACTCTTATTAAAACTCTAGGGCTATGCTTCTCTATGATTGGCTGTGGAGGTGAATGGGAGATACAGGTCAAGAGCAGGGAAGCTGTAAAACTGAAGCTGGTACAATGCTCTGAGGTCAACAGGTGGTGAGACAATTCTGAACAATCCACACTATAATAAGGACAGACTGAAGGTGAAGGATGAGAACCATGCTTCATAAATGGTTAGGAAATGTTCTCTAAACCATCATCAGTGTGTCCATACTGAATTCAGGGTTTCTGCAAGTTAGACAAATTAAAGTGGACTTAAGACCTTTTTCATACCACATGGAATGTAATTCAATACATGTTTCACTGTTATACTGCTCAAATTATGGAAGATATCAATACAGTACACTCGTAAGTACATAAATGTATTGATATTTATTCACAATTTAATTACAATTTTGTCCCACCAGTATATTAAAAAAAATGTCCTAATTAAAGGTGCATTATCTAAGTTTTCCAACAGTGTCTGACAAACCCAGTGACAGTGGGACAGGACATGGTGTCTCTCAGCTACACCCCCCTCCATGACCCTCTGCTGCCTACAGCCTCCTGTTGTTATTCCAGTTGTCAAAGTACGATCTGTAAATCAGCCCCGCCTGCTGCCTAGCCAAGGTTAGAAGAAGGGTTTTTCCAGCTACCAGTAGTCATGTCAAACAGCCATGGAGGAGCTCTGGGCGGCTAAAGGTCTGAACCAGTAGCTGCCAGAGTGAAGAGGTGGCGTCTTTTGCACAGAGAGAGTGGGACAAAGAAAGAGCAACAACCAGGGTTAACATGGGTCTGGCTGTTTGACATGGAGAGAGTTAAAAGCAGCCAGAGGACTCAGACTGGATCCAGATGTGGCGTTCTTCTGTCTGGATGTGTTAGCATCTAAAGCTAACCTGTTTGTTTTGGTAGCATTAGCCACCTAGCATGGTCAGGATTTTACCTTTGTGTTGAATTAATACGATTTAGAATTTAGGAGGAACTGGAACTTTGTGTTACATCAGCAGTAACCATAGCTTCTACTGGACTGACACATTTACTGTTAGTCGGCTAATGCTAGCTTCAGACCGGAGGCTGCATTTAGGACAGTTTGTCCCAACCAGGCATCCGTTGTTTATGTTGTCGCTAGAAAACAGGAAGTGATGGGAGGGGCAAAGAGCGATAAGGAGCAGCTGATGGTGTCTGTTTGTTTTGAGCCTCACTGGACCCTCTGGTCTGAAAAGACATTAGATAGAGGAGATTTAATTAAACACTAAACACACCCTAGACCTGAATAACAGCAGAAAATGGATGGATAGCTGGCTTAGTCAGTTAAAGAATAACTATCTAAGGTCTGCATATGAATTTTATGTAGATCAGAAGTAAATTACAGAACTAAATCAGCTAATATGCTCAGTAGGTGTATTCATCAAAGCATTATTCCTTTAAACTCGGGGCAAATGTTCTTCTGAGACATGAGACTATCTGCACACAGTCCTGCAGAGCCACAGCATTACCTGAGGACAAGCTGTTGCTGTAATGGTGGAGTTTAATGCATATGCATTCCCCTGTGGAATCAGTGACAGTACCCATATGGCTCTAACAGTGACAGCTTCTCAGCCCAGTTAAAACCAGGTTGTAGCCAGAGACGAGACAAAAACATCACACCTTGCAATGAATAAGCTGCTGGGGACAGTTTTTAAGGACACTGCCTCAATCCTGATTCACTAGCGGTTTACGTAGAAAACACACACATACAGAGGATTAGTGACAATCCTCAGATACACACACTCGCACTTAATTGTGACCCAGTCATTCAACTATAGCCAATTTTGTCTCTCATAATTGCTCTGTTCCCATTCTTCCTACAATTAGTGGAAACAGCTCTTTGTTGTCACTAAGCCTCTGCACCAATTAAATAGGGCTGTTATGTAGAGCCTGGCTGCAGCACATGCATATTTTCTCCACTCCGACTGCTCACATCTTGATTAGGCAGGAGGGATTGTCCACATGCATCTACCATGTTCACCCAGCTCAGCTTTCAAAGGGCTGCACTGTTCAAAGAACATCTCAGATCTACCTGCATTCCCCTGTGTGCATCAGTGAATGTATGGAACAGCAGCTTGTGCACAAATGAGCTCATGAACAATGAAAATCCCTTTAAATGGCACTTGCATTTCCTGGAAAGTTTTCTGTTCTGTACTGAGCTGTATGATAGGACGATGTGCAAACCCGAGCACTTGCCTGTTCAGTGATAAGAGAATTAAATGATAAAGGAATTACTTCTGGAAGAGGAGGAAAGATGAAGATACGGAGCGGGCTCGGAGGAGCTCAGGGAAAAGCTGGAGGTAGCAGCAAGTGTGAAATCTTAAACTAATCTCCTTCCCTTCATATATACAGTATAGCAGTGAACCCACTCTCTGCACAAAGTCTCCCTCCCCAAATCGTCAGCTAACACACTTCCTCACATCAGTGGTGATCATATGAAACCACTGCAGGGTTCACTGTCTGTCCTGCTGACGCTGTCACCCTTGTGTCTGTATGTCCTTGTCGCCGACAACACCTCATCTTCCTCTGTCCTGCAGATGCAACCCACTGTGACATGTGAAATTTTGCAGGGCTGAGACTTACAACTCAAAAACCATGTAGAGCATCCCATCTGAGCTGTATGTCTCCAGCAGCTCCACGATGTGGGGGTGCTTCAGCATGTGGCAGATGCTGGCCTCCCGCTTCAGATCTGAAAACACACAGAGAAAAAAAAAGTGAGATCAGCATACATCTCAGCAAGATGAGCATTAAGTACGGAGCACATGATTATTCCTGATAATTCTACAACTGAGGACGGAGTGGATCTTAGATAGAATTATATATGACCCATGTACCTGGGTAGGAAAGAGAATTTTACATCCAGTTTTGGTATTTTTCACAGACCTGGAAACACTTTTTTAAATTTATTTTACTCAGTTGATTTCCCCCAGCTTTTCTCACCATGTCCAGTTTCCAGCCCCTGTCACCACCAACACTACTGCTGGTTTGGAAAGGGCTGCAAGGAGTCATGTGCTGCTGCAACTGGAGAACCACAACATTTGGATCACAATGTGTTATTGTGTGGGAGAGAGCAATGAGTCATGATTTATAATGAGCTAATTCTAAATACACTTTAATTAGCCAACAGCTAAATGATTAAGCATTTTACTATTCTGTTAATAGCTTTACGTGCATGTGAAAACAAAGCACTGAATACAAATGTTTTGACTGTGTGAAGGCTGTATGAGTAATAGCAGCGGAGCAGAGTCTTCTGACCTCTCACAGGCTGCACCACTGATGGATTTTAAAACATGTTTTGCTGATGAAGCCTTGATTAAAAACCAGTGTGAGTGCGAGGGAAGTTCACAGGCACTTCTCACAGTAAACTCATTTTCATAGACTGATCTGATTGCAGACAGATCTCCTCAGCAACTTTGGCTTATTCACAGTGTTTTCCCAAGAGAAGATGACTCAGATAATAAATCAATTAGTCACAGAAAGCAGGACAAGAGGTTCATCTCTCTCTCTCTCTCTGTTCTACCTTGTGCTGCTGAGGTCTTTATGTTAGTCTGACACGTCCAGACTTAAATATGTCATGAGCCACAGCTGAGTAGTGCCCATGGCACGTTAAACTATCATCAGATTCATGTAAAGGGGTGCATGTCTGAAACAGGTTTTGGTATGTGTAGTGTTAACAGTTTGTGGATCGATCCAGACACACTCTCTAATAACCTCTCTAATCCCAGTTTCCTTATTTGATCGTTCCTCTGGACAACCGAGGGTAGACGACAGCCCAGAGCTCTTCTTCCTGCTCCGGTGGAGACATGAGCTTGCGGAGCTGTTGGCGACTGGATGCTTCAGATGAAGGAAGGATCAGAGATAACGTCTCATATCTTTAATAATGCTTTTACTAAATTCCTCTCTCCTAACACAATTTCCTTACTTGCTTTCCTCTCATATCAGGCAGGTGGGACTAAGATGCAAGTGAGGGAAACATGGATGTATATAAGAGACTAAGGTGTGACCAGCAGTTTCCCCAGGAGGGCTCACATTATCTCCTTCTGTTCCACATCCACTGCCTGATGCCACAACCAATCAACAGGAATCTTTAGCGTGGCAACAACCTCATGAGAACGCACTTCAGCCAAGAAGCTGCTACTGGCATTTCGTCATATTTTTTAGAAATGTATAATCTCTTACCCTTTTCATAGTGTCAGAAAACTGGCAGGCACCTTCCCTGTTTCACAGAAGTTCACTCTGGCACGACTGACAATGTGCTACATGTTAAAAGGAACCTTTACGCCACACCCCTGAAAAGCTTTTTCGCACCAATCTAAGCAGCTGAAGCCTGCCACTTTCAGACAATCCCACCAACCTCGAGGCTTTCTGTAGCTTAGCTCTTACTGTTAGTAGAGACCAAAATGAAAAAAGTGCATGACGTGACACAAGGGTCACGCTCCTGAAAAACCTAAATCATGATTCATCCGCAGAAGTGTCTCATACACAAATTGGCATCAAGCTTCTGCTCTCCTTTGGTTCAAGTGCTGTTTGTTTCCATCCATCCTGTTATTTTAAACCGTTACTGCTGCCTGGCAAGAAGCATCCCCCACTTTAATTGGCTCCTAATGAAGAGGGGGGTTAATGGAAGCGGTTACTGAAGCTGAAAGGAACAACGCAGGCTGGCTGCTGGGAGAAAGCACCGGGGAGAGATGAGAGGCACAACTAGTCAAACCAGGAAAATAAATCCCACAGTAGCATACAAAGCCCTGCTGCTCCCGACACAAACAGTGGAACACAATCTCAATCTCGTATGCTGAAAGTGCCTGAGCGAGCACACTTAACTGTACTCATTTTAAATAACCGTGTCTCATACTGATGTAGCCAGGATGTTCCAAAATATGCATGCTTGATATACAGGTGGCTAAATGTTACTCATTGCCAAAGTGGTTTTCTCCGGACTGCTGCTGCTAAAGGTGATTTACAGGCAGGAACACTGAATGGGGAGAAAGATGGGAGGAGACGTTTCTGCAAAGATGTGATAGGGTGGAACACACACACACACACACACACACACACACACACACACATGTGAATGTTACTGTATTGTTCTGCTCCATATGTGGTGACATTTAATTAAGCTCCGAGTTAAAACCATGAGCCACTTGTGCTGCTGTGAGTCTCAGCGCCAACAATAAGCTAATCCTCTGAGGACAAGCACAACGTCTGGGCTAACGCTAATGTGATGCTAAAGTCTGATAAGAGGTTACCCTAAGGGCGCTGTAGCCTGACATATTTAATGTCATCTAGCGTGCATGCTGCTCGTGTCCGCCGCTATAGCTGCTGCTGGAGATCATGAACGATTCTTTATCAAATGAGGAACAAATAACCACAATTTTTACTGTGCTAAGAAAAACTGCAGTGAAACCACTTCCATTGTTTTTAAGCTAGAGTGTGTGTGTGTGTGTGTGTGTGTGTGTGTGTGTGTGTGAGTGTGAGTGTGAGTGTGAGAGCAGTCAACAGAATACCACTGATCTTGTGGCAAATGTGTAAGCAACAGAGAATTAATAACGAAAGAAATGACAGACACAGGAGGAAGAGACAGATAAGACTGCAGCATGACTATACAAAACCACAGTACACCACACCGTGTAACACTGTGCTTGCACAGACAAATGAGTTAGTGCAGAACAAACGGAGGGACCATGACTATCAAATGCAACAATAAAGTGTCATTTCAGCCATATGTGTTCAAAGCTTCTCCCAATACTTCAGCTAAAAAACATTAAGTAACCTCAGGTCAGTGTAGTTTAACTTCATTTATAAATCAGCTAACACTGCTCTTCTACTAAACTTAGCTATCGACAATATGAACCAATAAATGCAAAGATGGTAAACCTGAGGCCCAGACCCAGCCTTCTGCATTTAGCGTAACATCAATAACAGTTACTGTAAAGCAAGGCGTTAACTCCAGTTCATGCTCACGCTGTGGGCAGAACAACATTAGGTCTGAATTATCTAATGAATGTAAAGGTGCTTAATAAGAAGTACAGGCACCAATTGTTCACTGTGCAGGACATGTGACCTCAGTCTGATAGTTCTCCTTCATGCTTGGTCAGAGGTAAAATAAGATCTACATTGAATATTTAAAAAGTACACATATTTACAGAACATTAAATGGATTTATTGCGACTTGGGGTGACCTGCTCCACCTCCACCTGACAAACACACGTGATCCCTGCTCCTCCTGCTGGGAGTCTGCATTGGAAGGAGGTTATCACAGCTGCACCACACAGAGCTGTAGGCAGGTTATGACCTGATGCTGGTTTAACAGACAGTTAGGAGAAGATGTCACAACAATCTAATACAAACTCTGTGCTGTAGCTTTTATGACTCTAGAGAGAGAGAGAGGACAGATAGATGATGAAGGAGGGAGGAGACGGACAAGGGGACGAAACAGGAAATGAAGATTCAATGGCTGCAGAGAAGAAAAAGGGGAAAGCAAAAGAATCAGGGAGAGGAGGCGGACGGAAGAAGCAAGCAATGGCACATGATGAATTTTGCTCATTCTCTAGCTGGTTTTTCTCCCTCACACCCTCAGAGGGCTGACCTATTCGTTGGAAAGACCTCCAGACAGGCTGCAAAGAAACAAGCTGGCATGTGTGTCTTTGTGTCAGGTCTCTGCTGGCCAATCTATTGCCAAGGCACAAAGCATTTGACCCACTTCCCTTGGTCTGCTCGAAGGCTTCGCTGCTGTGCTGCAGCTGCCTGCTCAAGTGAAACTGCTCTGCTTTCTGCAGGCAACTACAAGGGGGGAATGCAAACAATGAGAACAGCTGGCTGGCCTCTAGAGGGGGTGCACAGTGTGAGGGATTATGGAGCTCCAGGGAGGGAGGGGCTGCGACTAGGTATAAATTACAGGGGAGTGTGCTGTAACATATACGTACGTGCACATAAACACAGCCATGGAGTCACAAGGAAAATAGTGTGAATGTAAATGATGGTGATGAAGAGAAATGGTGTTTGTGCACAGCCAGACAAGCTACAATCATTCAGGAGCTTTGTGTGATCCATCGAGCCAGAGTTTCATCACCACTTTATGGGAAAGCTTTGAAGGAAAGGAGTCAGGCCAACATGATCTGAAGAAAACAGGAGGACTACCATGATGTCCAGTATTGACCCAGTCATCACACAGACACCAGTATGTGTGGAACTGGTCAACACTTACACAACATCCAACAGGTCCAGTTTAGCAAACCCGCACCCACAAAGCCCCAACCCCTTACCCACAATCATGTCTAATCAAATCCAGACAAATCCTTTCATTTTCATGTTAAACAAAACTGATTAAACTTCCATGAGACCAAACCGAATGACTGGGCTCCGTCTGTCTTCCTAAGGCCCAGCATTTAGAAATGACAAAAGAAGATTTAGCAACTATTTGTATTTTTATTTCGCTGTGGATTTAGCACAGGATGTGAAAAGGTCTTGTAGAAAGAAATTCTTGATAAAATGATATAGTGCTATGTTATGTACAGTGGGTACCGAAAGTATTCAGACCCCCTTAAATTTTCCACTCTTTGTTATATTGCAGCCATACGTTAGATTCATTTAAGTTCATTTTTTTC